AGTCTTAAATTTCAAAGCAAATAAGCTTAACAGTTTGTTTTCTTTGCAAGTTACAGTTGGTTTTTTTTTTTTTTTTTAATTTTTACTTAACACTTTTTGGGGAGAAACTGAGAATTTAGAAACTTTGCTCCCCTACTTCACAATCACAGGAAGTTTCAATTCTTTTTCAATTTTTCAGATTTCAACTTTTAACACTAATTACATGATATTTCTACTATTACTACCACAGAGTCTACCACAAGGCAAAGAACATTTGCAGTTCAATTTTTAATTAAAAAAAAAAAAGAAGAAAAAAACATGGAGATACAAAATCCTCATCTCCCACCTGTCCCTGAAACACCCTCTAACACTCTGTAGTTATTCCATCTAGCTTGATTTCACATTAGGTAAACTGACTAGTGTAGAAGGGATGGGATAGGGATATTGGGCCTTGCACACTCTGATCACCTCACTTCAAAGCAAATTCCTAAAGTGCTAGAAGGAACTAGAGAATGCAACACAGGAGCTTTTCACTCTAATTCACAACTAAAATCTGGTTACTCCCAAGGAAGGGAAAAGGACAGCAGAAAAAGGAAGAGTAGGAGAATGAGTCAGACAGATTATGGAGACAAAGTGCTAGTGCCATTACTAGCCTAGAAGAACCAGATGTTTTTCAGAGGAGCAAAATTGTATTTATTATACGGTTTTATAAAAGAACGGGTTCTTGACACAATCTCAAACAAAACAAACAAACAAACCTCTCTTCTCTGCAAGAAAATAATTTAATGAAAGCCAAAAGAGAGGTCAAAATGCAGGTGTGGTAATAACAAGGAGGCCTGTGAAATGCCACAAGGAAAGATCCCTGACACAAAACAAACCTGGGCAGGAGATGGGGACTGCTTGCCTTGCGAGGGTAAAACGAGCGTTTTAGGCTTTATAGGACACGAGGCCGGAATGCCAAAGGAAAATGAGATGCAAAGGGCAGCAGTGAGAGCCTTGGGAGGAGCGCAGGGGTGTAGGAGGAAATGAGAGTAAAGACGTAGGCAGGCTGGAAACAGCTGAGCCTTAAAGGTGCAGGAGCAAAACCTGAGGGTGACACAACGTTGGGAAGCCAGAGATGAGGTTGGGAAAGGGGCTGACAGGGGTCAGGGACCGGCCACATCGCTGCAACCTCGGGTCCTCTGCCTACCTGGGGGCTCGTGCTGGCGGCGTGCGCTGGCTCCACACTCTGCCACGAAGGTCTGAATTCCGAGACCTCTCGGTATTTTGCATGCGCTTTATTTCAAACCTAGCATGAAAATTTTGCAATTAAGTGTAAAAATGAGGAGCTGGGGGCTGGCTCTCTCTCAGTAACACATTCACACAGGCTGCCTTCAAAGGCACGGGGACGGTGGAAGGACGCCATGGATTTTTACATTCACCTTATATCCTTCCGAAGGATGGAGGAAACATTAACTGCAGAAGAAATAGAAAGTAGCAATATCAGCTGCTACAGAAACAAGCAGCTTTGGGGGAATGAACACATCATCTGGATGTTCTGTTAAAATACGGACGTACAATAATCAGCAAAGCAGAGGTTTAGATTTCTTTAGGCTTCAGAGTTAACACAAGTGGAGAGTTCACACGTTTTGGAGACACCATTTTAGGCTGCCCACTAATCTGGGCACTACTCATATTTTCAGAGCCACAGAAGACTAGAGACAACATTCCTTAACTAAAGTTTCAATGCCAGAGCACAGGACAGACACAAATTTTGCACAGAGCATCCTGCAAAACACAGGGTTCTGCCCGAAAGTCACCAGTCGCAATTCCATCCAAAGTTTGGAGCAGGAGATGGAACAACAAGTCTGAAAACAGCTTTCGATTGCTAATGACCAAAAGTAATTCCTGCCTGACAGCAGTGTAACGTAAGACTCATCTTAGGTCTGCTCTTGAGGGCTAAGGTAACAGTGAGGGGCTAAGATGGTACCATAACATAGCTGCCTTTAACTATTATCACTTGAACTGCTGAAGGAAAGGGACAAAACCCTAAATTCTGACGGAGGCTGGATCTCTCACTACGTGAAGGCCAGCTGAAGTTTAGGGGAGCAAGGATGACGAGATCAAGCACAAGTGGACACCTGCATCTCACGGGTAAGGAAAATAACTCCACGGAGCACACAAGGCTGGGGTCTCTTCTCCAGAGATACCAGGATACCGCATTTTGCGGAAAGAAATAAGCATTTCAGGACTAGCAAGCACATCTAGGGCTGCGCCGTGACATTCACACTCCCTGAACAGACTATTCTACTTCATTCTAAATTGTCTGACTCCTTATTTTGACCTAGACACTGTCTGCAGAAACAGATTTCAGGATAAAACCCCAGGAATTTACAGAACACATACTTAAGACATTAATATAACATTATTAAATATTAATAATAGCATTAATATAGCCTCCTGATCCTTTAATAATCATTTTCCCATAAGTCTCTAGACCTCCGCATTTAATTTTATTTAATAAGAATTTTTATTTAATGAGCTTGACCTGAGAAGAGCCCTGCTCACAGTTCTCAAACTTCACTGGGAATGGAGGGCACATAGGAAAGGATCAGACAGCTTCAGCTTTAAAAACACATGTTTAAAATTACCAATCCATACACATACAATTAAGTATCACATATCCAAATGCTTATGGCTTTGTACCTTCTATTGAAGTCCCATCAAAGTTCTTGMATACTTAGGAGAATTCGGCTATTTATTCAGGTACCTAAATTTGGATGTAGAAATCCAATTTTAGGCATTCAGGTTTAACAGTACTGACATAAAAACTTTTAAAGACATAGCACTTTCAGTCAAACACACCTATAAAGTACTTTGCGCCTTTATGAAGATGGATGAAATTTTCCTCACTCTCTTATGAATACTTTTATATTAAATAACTGGTGCAGAAGAGCTGCAGTATTCCATCTCAGAGGAAGGTGCATTTGAGCCTTTGATTTAAATACCAACATCATCATCATCACGCTGACGAGCCAGGCCCTGTAAAAACGATTCCCCTCCTTGCGTTTACCTGTAGGGCTGTCTTATAGACGACAGGATCTTCAGAGCAGAGACTGCCTTAATTTTGAGTGCTTGAGTCAGCACTGAACACCCTGCCAGTAATTAACAAATAAACAGCAATTACAAAGCATGACTTTCAGCCTTGCAGGTCTGCCATGAACGCTGAAAGCTCAGGCAGAAAATACAGATATTGCTCTTTATCATAATAATCATGGATAAAACATTTCAAACGTGCAAAGACAGTCATTGTGGGAGAACAGAATTTTCTAAGGCTGGCATATACATTCTGTAAAGCGCCTTGGCATCCACCAGAGCCAAAAGCACTTGAAAAATGTCAAGTCATTACAGTGAAGAAGGGGCCGAGGAAGGTAAATTAACCTGGAGAACACGCAAAGTCAGTTACCCCCTTGAGTGTACAAAGGCCAAAATGACTCAGTTATCTCTTACCTTGCCCAGATAACATGCCTGTACTCAAAACAGCCTGATTGCACAATTAGAGGGCAACAGGTATCTATTCCAGCAGTACCCCATGAATATACACTTCAGGACCTCTTGGTTCAGCCTTCCTTTGAGACAAAGCCAAAAAAAAAAAAAAAAAAAGAAAGAAAAAAGAAAAAACCCTTCTCTATGTTATCACTAGCTGTCAAAAATCTGCAAAAATGGGGAATCACCTTGGGAGGGACCTGGATTCTTTTGTATTATCTTACTGCCAAATGACACCAAGGAGTTTCTTCTTCTGGGATTCCCTACTAATTCCTGTGCTCCCTACTGAATTCCAAAARGTACCTGTCCTGGCCAAGGATCCTTTAATCCCGGATATCCTCCGTGCTGTCTCACTGGAGAACAGAAACAGGCATATCTCAAGTGAGATATCCTTAGGGATGATGCTTCTGCTAAAGGCATCTGCTTTGGCTTGACTTGAGTCAAGTCTCCCATGGACTCGATTTCTCAGGAAGTCACTATGTCACTGCCATAACACTCACTTGGACAGGAATTTAATTGTCCCATATATATATATAT